GATACCAAACAACTAGGGACAATTCCCAGGTCCCAGAGCCTGCTGAAACTATTCAAACTAGCCAATCCAAAGCCTGCTTACCCTCCCTCTCTCGTTCCTTCCCTTAGAAACCACAGTAAAGGCTCGTGCCCATGTTTGCCCCCTCCCTCTGCCTCCTGACCAACCCTGGTGCTTCCTTGTGTGGTCCCCCAGGTCATGGAGTGCCCCCATCTCTTGGAATCCGTGATTATAATAAACCATTTTGTCAATGCCAGTCATCTCCTGATATGCTGGCCTTGCCATACCTGAATAATATAAAAGCTACACTTTAAAACAATAAGCATCACCCTCACTCAACACAGCTGGATTATCCTGTGCTATTTCTCTAGTTGGCCGTTTCTCCACTCTTTCTTCAAATCTCCTACCCTCTCCTCAGCCCTGCAAACTTAATGATGTCATTAATGACTAAGCAATGCCTCCCTCATGTTCTTGGTCTACTTGCCTGCAGACTCATCTTCCACATCTCCTCTCCTGTCAGGATGGAGGCAGCGTTCTTTTTCCTGTGCTCTGATAACCTTTCCTTCCCACCTTCACTTACCCCTTCCTCCTGTATCTTCACTTTTCTCTTACCCATTGGAGTATTCTCATCTACGAGTCCCTTCTACAGAAACCTTCCTTTGACCCCACGACTCCTCCAGCCGCCATCCTATTTTCCATTCTTTCATAGTCAAACTTCTCAAAAGATTGATCTGCACTCTCTGCACTTCACGCTTTCTGAACTCCCAGTTCCATTAACGTGGCTCATCATCACCAAAGACATACATGTTGCCGAATTCAGTCACTGTTTTTCTCTTTATCTTACTTCCAGAGAAGGGCTCAAAAAAGATTTGTTTTTGTATGAACCTTACTCAACGTCTCAGCCATTCCCTCCTTCTTGGAACACTGTTCTTGCTTAACTTTTAGACGTGGGTAGGAGACTTGATCTTAAAACTCGTGGCAGCTGTCGCTTACTGAGTGTCTCTGGGTCAGATACTGCCGAGTGCTTTTACATCCATTGTCTCATGCAATGAAACACAGCAACCCATGTTGCACAGAAGAAGAGATTGAGTCAAGTCCCCAAGAATACACAGCTAGCTAGTGCCAAGTCCATACTAAAGCCCCAATCTCACTCAAATTTACCCCTAAGATGTATTGCACTCATTCGAGTAAAGAACACTTCATGCTCGGCCATGGAAGAGCCTTAAAGGGGTAAGTGGTTTTAGGTCTTTTTTGAGAGAGTGAAGGTAACATGTGGAAAGTATTGAAAAATTGATCAAACGGAACACACAGGATTAGAATGAGAGTGGTGTGTGTTGGGAGGGGGCAGAAAATGAGCCAAGGGAGAAGACCCTCCCAACAGAGGGACATCACTTGCCTAGCACATCTATACTGCTTACCCCAATCTGAGCCCCCAGATTGCACCCGGGGGGGCCTGCAGGTAGTGTGCCCATTCTCTGGCTCGTGGCCAGTCAGGGTTCTGTGCCATGTGATTTAGTCCTAGCAGCCCCCGTGGACCTGTCCTCTGACCAGCAGCCACGTGGCCTTAAGCCTGAGGCAAGTGAGCCTTGCACCGTGTCCTGAATACTAACACCTGCTCCTGTTGGGGCATCTGGTTCCAGTGAGTTCCAGGGCCCCAGGCTGTTCCCTGCTTCATCTGGATGTGGGCAGGTTTGGGGTAGGGGGAGCTGTGGGAATGGGCTCAGGAGGCCTGAAAAAGCACAGCCTTCACTTTACATGACAGCTAGAAAGCGGAGAGGCCCGGATGGTTTATGGAGACCTTGGTCCCTAACATAATACCCGCCTCCTTTTCCCAAGAGAAGGTCTATTATCACCTGGCTGAAATGAATGTCACACATCAGCAGTGTGAGTCTGTTTTCAACTGACTAATGACCCCCAATATGTCCATATCCTAATCCCCAGAACCTGTGAACTTTACTTTACATGGCAAGAGGGACTTTGTGATTATGATTAAGGCCAGGATCTTGAGATGGGGAAATTTTCCGGACATGCCTGATGCAATCACAATGATGCTTGTAAGAGAGGTGCAGGAGAAATTAGAGTCAGAGGAAGTAAGAGATGTGAGGATGGAAACAAGAGGTCAGAGTGATTCAAGGAAGGAACCAAGAACCGAGGAATGCAGGTGGCCTCAAGAAGCTAGAAAAAGCAAGTCAAGGGATTCTTCCAGAGGGGACCAACCCTGATGACACCTTGACTTTAGCCAAGTAAAACTGATTTCTTATTTCTGGCCTCCAGAGCTGTAAGAGTGTAAATATGTGTTATTTTGAGCCACTAAATTTGTGGTAATTGTCAGAGCAATAATAGGAAACTATTACAGAATCTAACTTGGGTCTTGGGGTAACACTGTCAGCATCTCTCCCTTTTGGGATGACTATGAAATCCTGTATCTCAGAGATGGGATGTTGCCTGATATGGAATTTCATTTGATCCATGGATACTTATTTACTGAGCATCTATTGTGTCAAAGCAGAGTTCTAGGCATTGGGAATACGGTGGGGAAGAGAATAGACATGTCTGCTCTCCTGGGGCTTACACCCCAACGGCAGAAGCAGGTAGTAAACAAGTGCACAGCAACATCATAAGATGCTTTCAAATTTGGTATCTAAGAAGGCCTTTTTAGGTGGTGACATTTGAGCTGAGATGTGAAGGATGAAAAGGACACAGCTGTGTGAAGATCTGGGAAAGTGTGTTCTGTGTACATTTAGGGAGGAGGAACAGCCACAATGACAGAAAGAGAGAGAAAGAGAGAGAGAGAAAAAGGGAGTGAATTGTTCAGAGAATAGATAAGAAGTGTGGCCAGAGCCTAGAAAATGTGAGGGAGAGGAAAGAGGAAGAGATCTGCAGGGCCAGAACTTTCTGGGCCTCGAAGGCATGGTAAACAGATTGGATTTTATTCTAAAAGCAATAAAGATGCCATTAGAGTGTTGTAAGCCCTCATGACCACGGCTTTTTAAAAGATCATCTCAATATGGATTTTGGAGGGTGGAGAGGTAAAGAGTGACAGCCGAGTGACCAATTAGGAGACTTCTGCAGTTGAGAAATAGTGGGTGATTGTCAGTGGAGATGGAGGGAAGTGGGTGGAGTCATGTGGAGGGAATTGGGTGGTCAATGGAGGGAAGTGGGTGGAGTCACATGGATTGGTGGAGTTACTTACATGGTGGTAAAAAGAAAGAAGGGACTTGAGGATTATCCTAGCGCATTGTTGGTTGAGAGCAACATCTCACTAATTGAGATGAGGAAGACTAGGGACAGGTTTGGGGGTTGATCTCTTTCTCACTGTGCCAAAATACAGTGTAAACAAATCAATCCACCTCATTTGAAAGTTTTATTCCAACTCTGGGAACCTCAACCTGGTGGAGGTGGTGTGCATAGTGCAGTCACCAGAGTGAGATTGCCTGGGATTATGTCTCAAGGGCTTTCTAGCTGTGTGATCCTGACTGGTTGCTTAACCTCTCTTTGCCTCACTTTCCTCATCTGTAAAGCGGGGATAAGGAAACCTAGCTCCCAGTGATGTTGTGAGAACCAGATGAATGCCCAGCCTGTCGTAAACACTCTCAAATGTTTCTATTATGGCTTCCCTTGCAGCCGTGTTTGCATTCCAGGCCAAACAGCTCTTCTAAGGCAGCGCCAACCAGGAAAAAGTGGGAATGAGTAAAACAGGGCCAAAGACATTCAGTGGCTTTTATTATCAAGCCCCCACCCACCCACCACAATGATATAAAATTTTATTGGAGTAGATCCACTCAGTAAATGATGCCAGGACCTGGAAAATGGGCACCTTCCCTCCCGGCGTTGGAGAAGCTACAGTTCTTCCTTGACTCTTGGTTTCTTCTCTTGTCTTAGAGGTCCTTTTGGCTTAGCCACCTTCTCCTCAGCTGTTTCCTTCTGCCCAGCTGGCTGTTCCAGCTTGGTCCCATTCTCCAGCTCAGGCAACTTCTGCTCAGGTGACTCTTTCTCCATAAAACGTACCTCTTCTTCCTCAGCTAATACTTCCTCTTCCATCACTTCAGTTTGTTCAACAAACAACAGCTATTCAAGACAAGAAGGAAGGGGGGAAGGGAAGAAGGAGGATAAAGAAAGAGACAAAAAATATGTGATAATTTTGATTGTAATTGCCAAGGTCACTTTTTCTGGAAGGGCCCAGAGAGAGGCGCCTGGGTGATCCTCTTAGATGCAAAGGTTCATTTGGCTTGGGTGGGGACATTCTCAACTGTGATTTTGACCCTCCAATAACAGGACCTTTGGGGAACCACCCTTCCTTCACTCAAGTCCACAGATGTGGCTGCCCCCACGCCTAGCTCTGGGGCTGGGCATGTGACCCAGGCCTTGCTAATGAGATATCTGCCCAGAACATTTGCTGGGACTACTCAGAAGTAGGTGCTTTCTTTCTAAGCTGGGAGGATATTAGTTTAGAGCTGTGGGGCAATCTTTGACTCTCCATGTGTAAATGACTGCTTGGGAATGAAGCCAACGTAGAGGAAAACAGAGATAGGGAGATAGAAAATGAGCTTGAGCTTCTGAAGCCACCCATGCCTGATGTTCTACCAGTTATGTAGGATAAATGCCCATTGTTGCCTAAGCCCAAGAGTAGTGTTTCTGACATTGGCAACTGAAGGGTCCTAGAACACAGATGGCATCTTCCAGCAGATGGCCTCACTGAAGCATGAACAGGACTAGGAGAGAATGGGGATTGTCATCCCGTCCATCAGGAGAATAACGCCACAGGGTAGGATTCCAGCAAGACATCTGGTTACCAACTCAGGAACAGTGGACCCAGGGAAGCAGCCTTCGGAGCTGTGTGAGACCTCAGAGCCTTTGCCCCTCCCAGTGTTTCTAACATCTGCCATTTCTGCTTCCTTGGAGTAAGTGCCTTTGAAATAAAATCTTCCAAACTGGTCGGTTGTTCAACCATCTTCAAGTATCTCAGAGTGCACAAGAATATGGAACTCTTGGCACACTCTTTCCTAGTCCATTGAGGTCTTGATGACTTTGTGTGGGACAGAATAACCCAGGGTACTGCTGTTTTGCCTTACCTCATCTTCATCCTCAATCCTGGTCTTGATTTGGCTTTCCAGGAAGTCTGAAAAGCCCTTCATGGTATGTTCTCCCTTATATGGTACAGCCTAGGAAGAAAACAGAACAGGGTCAAAACGGTAGCCTCCTCCTGCAGAATACTCAGGGATTGCTTCAGGTAAACCCAGAGTCACATTCCTAACAAGCTGAGTACAGTGAGCAGGTTCCTTAACCTCTCTGAGCCTCCATTACCATTTATTATCTAAGAGAAGGATAATAAAAATTCCTCCATCCACGATGACTGGGTCAGGGATGGGCAACTGACCTAAGCTGGACCCACTTTGAGTCTTGAGACTTTTGTGGAAGCTAATGGAAGACACTCTTTAACTTGAACTTGAGAGGGAAATAGGAGCTGGAGTTGAGAATGAAGCTGATTTGGTAGAAGGCAGAGCTGGAAACAGGGAGAAATCGAGTCTGTGCTAATAATGCAACAACATTTCCAGTTATGTGAGTCCCAAGAGCCCCTCACTTGTTGAGAGTCAGTGGGGAAGAGCCTGAAGAAGGGGTACCGGTCCAGGTTCATCAGCTGAATGTCGTTTGCTGTGATGTCGATCTTGGCGATGGTGACTGTGGAGTGGTTTTGATACTTTCTGCCCAACTCCTCCAGCACTGGGAACAGCGCCCTGCACTTCTCAGACCAGGGCGCATCTGGAAGAGAAGGGCCATTGCTCATGCTCACAGTAATAAGGACTCTGAAAGCCAGCACTCCCCATAAACATCATCACTGGGTTCTACTAGTGCTTCTGCTGCTTTGCAAATTGGACTCCTCCTTTCTTTTAATAGTATATTAGGTTATTTTACATTTCAAACATGGTACCTGATCGTTATTAAATAAATTAGAAAAAAATCAACCCTCTCTCTTTTTGCCCAGACACTAACACTTGTAGCATGTTGGGATGTTTTCTCCTATTCTTTGTTTTGCCTTTAACGTAGCTTTC